TAAGGTTTGTCCACTAGCACCTCTCTCTCTCTTGTCGTATTCCACCGACACTCTCCCTTGTCGCATCTGCCGACACCCTGACCCTTCTCCTTTGTCAGGATGTGCCGACGCTCTCTCTTTCTTGTCCCCATCTGCTAACTAAGGCATCTCTCTCTTCTGTCTTCTTCTGCTAATGCTTGCCAGCTGGTCCATATTAAGATTCCTTTCGAAGCCTCCATCCTTATAAAAGGAAGGCTCCTCCCTTGTCCGAAGCAGGGCCTAACTACTCTCCTCTTCTCCTATCCCGAAGCCTCTGAGTCTCCCTGAAGCCTCTAAGTCTCCCTGAAACCTCAAGCCTCTGAGTCTCCCTGAAGCCTCTAAGTCTCCCTGAAACCTCAAGCCTCTGAGTCTCCCTGAAGCCTCTGAGTCTCCCTGAAACCGCTGAGAAACCCTGTTACCTGTTACCTGAACCTTGAACCTCAGAAACCTTGTCTGAACCTTGAACCTCAGAAATCTTGTCTGAACCTTGAACCTCAGAAACCCTGTTACCTGAACCTTGCAAACCTCAAGAAACCCAGTTACAAAACTCTGAACCTTTTCTCACAGCCAAAATACACCTGTGCGAACCCCTGCAACAGTTCATACAATTCCTATTAGAAGCTATCTTCGCCCTCATAGCTGAACCAGGTTCTCTCTTACCTCACTCTATACTTATGTGTGATTGTAATATCACAGATTTGCCTTCATATTGCCCTCATCACTGGAAACTATTTTCCAGTTACTGTTTGTGTGCTCAGTAAGTGTTTTATCCCTCTGTTTTATTTCCTGTCTTCATGTAATATCTTTATTTCTTTCCACTGTAATATCTCCCCGTTTTCATCCTGTAAGCAGATGTGAATATGAATAAGATGCTAGTGTGATTTTCTGTAAAAATTCTATGCATGCCTGTTATGCAGTTTAAAATCTTGTTCAATATTAAGATAGGTAACACTAGTTACGCCCAATGGATAGTACTGGATATCTCAATAGTTCCATTCATAAGAATCATATTATTCTGTTTAAATTATTATAAAATATTGCAATCAATAGTAACTTACAACAGCTTGCTATTCACATACCTGTTATAATTCCTGAAAATCGTTTCCAAATAACTTGAACACCTGAAACATAAAATCCAATAAATAAAACTTCATCAAAACAAACCAAATGACAGTGCTGTAGATCCTGGCGCAAAGTGGTATCAGAGCCAAGCAGTGAAACACTGTCAAACAAAGTACAACAGTAGAACTATTCCACAGTGGAACTGTGCAAACAGTTACAACTGTAGAATTTGTAAAACTGTTCTTTCTACCTCATAAGTTAAGATAAAGATACATTCTACCATAAGAAATTAAGTGAGATTGACCACCAAGAAAGTTGGTCCGAGAGTTAAGACAAGAGACAAGTGAACGCCGATGCGAAAAGTACCGCCAAGGCCAGGAGAGCCGCTTAGGGAAAAAAGCTAAGGCCACTGAATGTCCAGATTGTCATTATCCGCAACCTACGGATGGCAAATCTCATAAGAAATCTTACTGGTAAAACTGTACCTTCATCTTCAAAACTTAGAATTAAGAATAAAGAACAAATTATTATAAATGATATTGAGGAAAATATTCAGAACTGGAATATCCCTAAGGTACCAATACATGATGTTTATAATAAAGGATCGTTTAAACTAAAGATGGGTTATGCCATCAAAACTGTAGAAGAAAGTCTTTCAGTAACACAACATCAAGAAGACTTTCACCTACTCTCGAAAAAAGTAATAGAAAAACATAAAGAAAATAATTACAAATATTTACACATAGGCCTCATTCAAATAGCTGTAAAACCTTTGACCCGACCAGGGTTGAACACTTCTGTGCTTGTATGCCTAAGAGATACAAGACACAATATATTCACAGACTCTCTACTAGGCATGGTCGAATCCAGCCTTTGTAGTGGTCCAATTTATTTTAACTGTTTTCCTAATTTTTCTGTTTCTTTAACTGACCCAAATATCCTAGATATATTAACAATAAATCTTAAAACACATGGATTCAATATGGTCCATGGTTCACAAAATCTAGCTATAATCTATAGAATATTATTCCTGCACCAACCATTACTTCCCAAATACCTGAGTCATCTGACAAAGGCAAAGCCATCTTACCTGAGCATGAAACAATGATGCTTACAGAAGAAGAACCCATAATAGAGGATACAATCCAAAATCAAGAAAAAGCATTTATGGATACTACACCTCTAATGGATAGCATCAATAAAATAGCTTATGGAAAATATTGGAAACCCATAACAGCCTTACCATATCATAAGAGACCTACTCCTGTTGATATTCAAATGGAAGAAGATTCAATACAACAGGCAGCATCTTATTTTGGAAGATCAATAGTCAATTGGCAAATAAATGGTCTATCAGAATTAAAAATATTAGATGTCATGAGACATATGACCATGTATGCCTCTGCAAATAAAATGGCAGGCAACCATGATCAAGAAGTTGCCAAAGCAATAGTAAATGGATTTACAGGATGGTTAAGGGGATGGTGGGATTTTTATGTGGATGATGATACCAAACAAAGAATTTTAAACAATACTAGACAATGGACTGGAAGAAATGAACAAAATCAAGAGGTTATATATACAGAAAGTGATGCTGTCAATACCCTAATATATACAATCACTTTACATTTTGTAGGCAGTATCTCATTACTAGCAGCAAGATCAGAGGATCTGCTTTCTAATTTACACTGTCCTACTTTGTCCCATTATAAATGGTATAAAGATGTATTTTTCTCAAGGCTTCTAATACGAGAAGACTGTCAGCTAGACCATTGGAAAGAAAAATTCATAGCTGGTCTTCCTTATCTATTTGCAGAAAAAGTCAAAGAAAGACTTCGCAAAAAACATAATGGAATAATAGTATATTCATATATATATATATATTGTTATGTTAGGGTGCTCACACTGTGGAGTTATTTATCATTGTACTCAACAAATTTGAACACTGGATACTTTTATACCCTTATTTTGTACATAGAGCTTTTTTTTAGTAAGGGTATTTTTTGTCATTAAAAGGGGGTGTGATGTTATCT